AACATAAAAAGATAGCAACTTCGATTCGCAACTCTCCCCCGCGATAATACAGTTCGGCCTTGCCGCCCCTCTCCCCAGACCAAATCTGCATTGGCCAGCTATGGTAGACTCTCAGGGGTTAAGGGGGGATATACTTTGTTACCTGGGGGTGGCGGTTACGTCCTCGGTGGGCCGTTCCAGCTAATGGCTCCTCCTTTCTAATATCCCGCATCCTCTTCCTTATCCTCATCCTCCTCAAAGAAGAGGAGGGCGACGAGGAGGAGAAGGGGAAGGAAGGACAACCCTCCCGGAATGTCGGCCAAGTGCATAAAAACCTGGCCGCGCTTCCGGCGCCTCCGACTCGATAAGCCGACGATGTTTGACGCCCTGGTGGCACAGTCAGGACCTAACTGCAAGACCACTGCGAGGCCGAAGTAGGTGCGACATTCATAGAGGCCTCCTAGATGGGTCGGAGAAGAGGGGGTCGGAGGATCGCCCCACGTCGTCGATGCATCGGCGACTTCGGCGGTGCATCAGCGATGCATCGGCGTCGGGAAATCGGGCCACACATCGAGCCGCATCGCCGATGCATCGGCGATGCAGCCTGACCCTCCGACCCCATCTACTCGGACCCCATCTGTGAGGCCTAGAATGAAATAGCTTGAAAATTAGTTCGCACGCCCGGGCAAAGCGTGCAGCAACCCGCGCCTCTACACCCCAGCGCGGGCTGCCCTCCTCCAGTTCAGCACCCGCCTGCTCTGGACCCGAGCGGGCGCGCCGCGCACTCCCTCCGACGGCCTGGGTAGGATCGGGCCTCGCTACGGGGCCTCCTAGATGGGGTCCGCGCCGATGGGGTCGGAGGATTGCACCGCATCGGCGATGCATCGGCGATGCATCGGCGATGCATCGGCGACGTCGAAGTGGAGAAAATCGGGCTCCACATCGAGCAGCATCGCCGATGCATCGGCGATGCGGCGTGATCACCCAACCCCATCTACTCGGACTCCTTCAGGGAGGCCCAGATCGGCCCAGGAGCGCACTCGCAGCTTGAAGTCTCCCGGGGGCGACAGGAAGGTCGCACGTGCAGCTCACCCGACTAGCACATGCTGTCCTCCGTGCATGTCTTGCCTCCCGGCGTGCACACGCCCTTCCTCTTTGGGCGAATTGAGATCACATCCGTCCGCCAGAAAGGCTGGGGGCGGCATGAGACCAGCGCCGCGCGCGCACTGCGCCCTCCAGCAGGGCGCGGGGCGCGCCCGAGGCGGGGGTCCACGGCGGCGGCGCCCCTCCTCCGCGGCAAGGGGGGGGTCCACCTGCTCCACCTCCTCCTCCTTCTCCTCCTCCTCCTCCTGCTCCTCCTCCTCCTCCTCTTTCTCATCTTCCTCCTCCTCCTCCGCCTCCTCCATCTCCTCCTCCTCCTCCCCCTTCTCCCCATCCTCCTCCGCTTCCTCCTGTTCCTGCTCCTGCTCCTCTTTGTGTTTATGATATTCTTATTCGTATTATTAATAGTGTGCTTATTATCTGTCTTCGCATTAGTATTAGCATTATCATTACGAGTATTATCATTATTAGTGGTATGTGTATTAGTATTATTACTATTATTATTATTATTATTATTATTAGTAGTAGTATTAGTATTATTAGTATTATTAGTATTATTATTATCCGTATTATTATTATGATTATTATTATCATTATTATTATTGTTATTATTATTATTAGTATTATTATTATCATTATTATTATCATCTCCAGCCGCCGTTCGGGCTCGAGCAGCGCCGCGCGTCGGGCCGCGCGCGGGGGGCCGATCCGAGCGCCCAGGGGCTGGACCAGCATCGCGCTGTGCTCGGCTTGAGCGCCACTCGCGTCTGGGTGGTCAACGCCTGGGATAATTAGTTTTCGAGTTGCTGCCCGTGTGCCGTGGTGCATGCGCCTATTTGTACCTCAGGACCTGGTGAGTTCGGAGCTCCTGCGGAAGATCACCGAGTTTGAGTTCGACGTGGAGGTTGAGGTGGACGTCGTTGTGGTAAACAATGACTTCGCCCATGACCTTCTGGCGAGTCACGGAGTCGGTGCTGTTCAAGCGGGAGAGCGGGGACCTCGTCAAGATCCCGATACCGTTGCCGCCGGCGCCCTCGCTGTTGAAGGGGCCCGTGCTGGTACAGCCTCCGCCACCGCCCTCGAGTACGGGACGCAGTTTGTCGGCCCCCTGCAGGCCTACGGTGCCCAGGCTCCGCGTGAAGAGCAAGAAGTTGTTGTTGAAGAAGAAGAAGAAAAAATGCGGCAACATGCACAAGGATCACAAGGATCACAAGGAACCGAAGAAGAAGAAGACCGAGAGGGAGAAGAACATCAACCTGAAGCCGCCGCTGCCGACTCCGCCGCCGCCGAGTGTTTCGGTTGGACCAGGGCCCTTACTCGAGCGCTCCACGGGTGAAGATGTGGTGGACGCTGACGGGCAGGCAGACCATTGCCCCTCAGCTGCCAACTACTCGAATGTGCTCGCCCGAGAGGTCCAGCAGCTCGACATTTCCAGTGACAAGGGATCCCGCATGAGGAAGTCCAAGGCCAAGAACCGCAAGAAGAAGAATAAGAAGGACAAGCAGGGAGATGGAGAGCAGCAGCTGGAGGTGCGCGCCTCAACCGCAGCTTCATCGTCTCTTGCTGGTGGTAATGCGCATCCTGCTCTACCTTTTTCGGACACTTGTGAGCTCAGGGCGGAGAGTTTGGCTGTTAAATCGACGGCTACTTCTTCTGCTTCTGCTTATCATGCCCCCTCCACGGTGTACACGGCTAGCGAGATGTCCTGGGCATCCCCCGAGATGCTCGCAAAGCTGCGGCTGCTGGGCCACGTGTGCCCAGAATGAGCCGACGCCCTCATGCAGGAGAGGGTCACGAACGCGTTCTTGGACTTCATCTTAGATTACCAGGTGAGCGGGAACCAGTGGACTTAGGTCGGGCATGTCCTCCTACAGGCGGATTTTGAAGGAAAAATCAAACATAGCCAGAAGAATGCCCCCATTTGAACAAATATAATCAAAAGATCGTTCCCAGACTATTGTTGTACTACGTTTAATATTCCCCCTGTAGAACGCTGGATAAGGATCAAGTGGCAAGCAAAAAACAAGAACATGAACTGTCGGAGGTCCGCGCGGGCTGCTTGCATCGGCGCTGGACTCCCCTCCCTGTTTCCTGCATCGGCGCTAGTACCGCCCCGTTTGATTTAAGGAGTGTTAATTAAGTTAACACTCGTTGCACTCTGTTTCGGGTCCTCGATTTTTCGATGTCCCTGTGTGTTCGGTCGGGTCCCTCGCTCGGCTCTGTCTGGGTTCCTGGGGTCCGTCTCTCGTCTCTTTCGGCCCTTCCTTCGGGCCCCTCGCTCGTCGTTTCGGCGCCACGGGCAGGAGTGTTCGGCAGACGATCACCCGCGAGCAAATCAAAAAACAAAAATGGACCCCCCTCCCTGGCGCGCGGCACGCACCAGGGGGCGGCGGCGAGAGCGCCCCCGGGCGGGTGGGGCCCGCGCCGATCCAAGAGACTCGCGCGGACCTCCGAAAGGTGAGTTCCGTTTTTTTTTTATCTCCCGAAGGGGATCCAGGGTCTGGGAGCCGGCGGAGCTCCAATCGTGGATGGACCACCGATATCCCCGCCCCCCCCCCCCTTAGATCAGGAATCCTCCAGGGTCTGAAGGCTCCCGGGCAGACTCCTCGACGAACGCCCCCACCGTAGAAAGCTAGTGGGGTCCTGAGCGTGCTGGCCGCCACGCTACATCACCGCACCTCCCGCAGTATGACGGGCGACGTTCGCCAGGACTCCGCGGCGGGCCACTGCGAGCCCCACATCCACCCTGGCATCGCTCGGACGTCCATTCTCCGTGCAAATCTCGTATGCAATAGTTGTTCGTTCTGCAAGGTGGGCGTTTCTTCTTCGACGTTTCGACATTTGGATGGACAGGGGCGGAGGGGGGGGAGGGTTCCGGACCTCTGCTTGATGCGTCTGTTTGCAACAGTGCGCCCCACGGGGGAGAGACCCCACCTGCTCGAGACAGGCGCAAAAACAGACAAGATCTACTCCATTGGGGGGCTGGGGGGGGAGAGGGAGTGTTGGGGGCCCGCGCCGATCGGCAAAACAATGAATAAGAAAACGAACACATATTTCCCCATGGTTTCCTGGAAGTCGACGATTTATTGGGTCGGTGCGTTTTTCCCCCTCCTGAACAGTGGACTTTTGCGCGGCCTCTGCGTGGCCCGTGGGATCCGTGGGCTCCCCGTGGCCTGCGCGGCCCATGAGAACGTGCGAGACACCTGTGCGGGGCCCGTGGGACACACGCGCCCGTGCCTGACGTGCGCCTCCAGGATGCTCCTCGGCGCCCTCGATCACAAGACTTGACCAGGGACCGACCATCCAGGCATTTCTATAGGCCTACCACGAACTGTTCTCAGAACCCAAAATGTTCGAACAACAAAAACCATGTTCTTAGAACATAAGCCCGATGTGTTAAAACAAGACAGCCCCAGCCATACATGTGCGAATAACATTTCGTGGAAACCACAAACGGTTCTTAGAACATTCTTTGGTGGGCCTATGGGCGAGCCAGGACGCTTCGCCACTGCTTGATCCTCGGCGCCCTCGATCACAAGATAATCCAAGATGCTCCTCAATGGCCCACGCCGAGCGGTGCCGCGTCACTCTTCCGAGCAGGCAGCTGCCCACCCCGGCCAGGGCGCGGCGAGCTATGAGCATGCCCACCGCCCCCGGCCCGCCGCCCGCCCCTCGATACCCCGGGAGCGCGGTGGTGCCCACGTTTCTCCGCTTTCTGGGGAGGAGGAGGAGGAGGAGGAGGAGGAGGAGGAGGAGGAGGAGGATCCCACGCCACTGAGAGGCGCGTCTTTCTCTATGCCGCGCAGCCGCCGCGCGCGCCCGCCTCGAACTCGCCGCTCAGAGGCTCGGCGGAGGAGGCGATGTCGCCGTTGTACACGGTGCTGGCGTCCACGTCGTGAACTTCGGAGGAGTCCCGCTCTGGAGCGTCTGGAGATGCGACGACCGCAACGACCTCCTGCACCGACGTATGATCGTCATCCGGAAGAGACACCACATGAGAGGTCACGATGGCTAACGTCTCCGCGTGTGCGTCATCTGGATCGGATTCGGGCCCATGACAAGAAAGGACACGCAAGGCCTCCATAGGGGTGATGTCGAGCTCGTCCGTCTCTTCATCATTGACTGTGGCAAGCATCAGCTCGTCGAAGTCGCTGTCTTTGTCACCTTCGATGTTGATATCCGTGCCGCGGACGGGCAGTGAGAAGTTAATTATAGCACCATTCTCCAGAAGTATGCCAATATTGTGAAGCGCCCATAGAACCAGCTCGCAATGCTCGGCCGACAGGTGGTAGTGCGCGCCCATGTACTCTGTTGCCGCGACCAGCTGCTCGGGAGAGAGAGCATCGCCCGATGAGCGCGCCGACGAAGGCTCAGGCAGAGAAGCAGAGAGAACTGAGGCCACGAATGTGCTGACCGTCTGCACCGCCCTTAACTGCTGCAGAGCCCTCTCCTCAGCATCGTCTTCGACCTCGCCAAGCCCAGTCAGTACACCAGTCGTATCGGCACCGTCACGTAGTCCCTCACCAGGCCCAGCCACGCCAGCAGACGGACACCCATCAGGAGCCACCTCTCCGTCTCCGCCACGATGCGCACCTCCAAGCGACCCGTCTGGATAAATCACCCCGAACCAATGCGAGGCCATACATTTGTCAAGCTCGCCGTCGGTCTCGCTCGACTTGCCGCCTTCTCCATCTCGCCCAATAGGGAGCGGCACTGCAGGAATCGAGCCGCGGGAAGATGCATCAGCCAATCCCGTCGAAGACGCCGCCGTGGGGTCGCGTCCGTCTGTCTGAAGTTCCTCCCTGGACCGTCGCAACGCAGCTTGGACATGTCTCTCGAACTCCTCGTCCGACCATATGGGGCCGAAATGGTGGGCACATTCGTCAGGAGACGTGGTGTCATTCACGCGGTTCAGCAGCGCCATGGTCAACGGCCTCGGCGCAGGTTGAACCGTCAACAGCATCTTGCATCATCTCGATATCCACGTCGGACGGGTTGGGATAACCATCACCACCAATGCTACCATCGGCTTCATCTGGAAGAGGGTTCACCAGGGGCGAGCACACCCACATCAGAGCCAGCAAGCACTTGATGTTGAGGGTGTAGGAGAGGCAGGAGCGCAGGCGGCGACCCTCCAGCGAGTGTTCTTTGAATCAGCAGGTATTTGTCTCTTTCTTCCGTTGGCATGCGAGTGGTGTTTGCTTTCCATCCCAATTGTCGGAGCAGCTGAAGCCCGCGGCGACGAAGTTGAAGCAACCTTAGGTCATCACGAGCATCCCATGGATCTTTCAGCTGAGTGCGGAAGAGTTCTCGCGGACCAGCTCCAGTGTACCACCCGTGCATGCAGACCTCTATGGCAACCTCCCACCTCTTGGCGCTGCTGGAGGTCGCCCTCGCCTCACAATGCAGCAAATCGCGAAATCCAGAGTAGCGGAGCAAATCAGAGAGATGAGTCCGAGGGCTTTGCACGCGTGCAGGAGCGCAAGTTTACTACCGAGCGCGGCGAGCGCTGGCGAGAGTGGGCACAGGAGGCTGTATCTGCAGGCGCTGGCAAGGCGCACAAGTATTCGCAGTGCCCGATAGGCTGGGTGCCGCCCGAATCGAGCACCATCAAGGCTGGGGGCTTCTCGGTTCCGCTGGGGCCTCAAGATTCCGTGGATGGGCTGACCAAGTTTTGGAGTGATATTTGGAAGTCTCACCCTGATGCCTCGAAGTTCCCTGACCCCATCCAGTACCTGACGTACCAGATCCAAGCCCAGGCCGCTGAGCGAGGTGTCTCAGTTCAGGAGCTGTGTTCCGAAGAGAGGTCGGTCGTGGACATCCGCGGGGCTATCAGGAAGTTTCCGAAACGTACGGCTTGTGGGGTGGACGCCCTTCGGCCACGGGATCTGGACATGGCCTCGGATGGCCTTCTGGAGGTTCTCGGAGCGCTCTGGGTCAAGATGGAGTACCTAGGCACCTACCCCACCATCCTCCTCACCACCATCCTTGCCATGCTGTCCAAGCCCGAAGGAGGTTTCCGCCCGATAGCTCTGCTGCCGGCTCCCACACGGGTGTTTTCGAAGCTGTCGAGGGGCGAGATAAGGTGCTGGGAGCGTGATAATAACCGCGACTACTTGTACGGTGTCCACGGCAAAAGCTGTGAACGTGCGGTGTGGGAGCAGAGCTTGACGGTTGAGCAGCACGTCAGTGTAGGAGGCTGCTCAGGCGCCTGTCTCGTGGACTTGACGAAGGCATACGAGAAGGTTTGCCACTATCTGCTGGCCGTCGCGGCCGTCAAGCACAAGTTTAACATAGTGAAGCTCCGCCTGCTGCTGTCGCTGTATCGTGGGCGTGGGATCATCAATGTGTGTGGTGTTGTGGGGACCCCAGTGCTGGCCCTCCAGGGGATCCCCGCAGGTTGTGGGTTCGCGACAACCTTATTACACGTGATGCTCATGGACCCATTGGACCTCACCAGGGAGCTCTACGGGAGTGTGAAACTGTACAATGTGGTGGATGACATTACGGCCCAAGTATCTGGTAGCAGGCAGCATGTTGAGAGTATTCTCGCTCGCGCCGTTTATTTTCTCTGCCTGCAGCTCGAGAAGCTGCTGCTGGTCATCTCTCAGGCGAAAGGTTTCGTTATGTGCAGTCACCCGGCGGCAAGGGTGGCTATCGCATCTGGGCTTCAGAAGTGGAATTTTATTGGCGTCAGCTCGGGCAGGAACCTGGGCTGCGACCAGACGGTGCAGAAAGGAGCCAAGGGTTCAAAGGTCCTCCAAAAGCGCCTCCACAAGGTCCGTCTTCGGGGTAAAGGGATCCGTGGGCGCAGGGGTGCCAAGAAGGGAATGTCCAGAGCTGCTCGAGCGGGAGGCCTCCCCTCGGCCACGTGCGGTTGCCGCGTCAATGTAATGTCCACCTCTGCCCTGGGCGAACTCCGAGCGTGCCTCGGAAGCGCTCTTTTTGGAACGCCCAAGGGAAGGTGCAGGACACTGGAGTTTCTCTTATCGGTGGAGCCCAAGGCGGACCCATCGTACGACGTGCACGCGTTGCCCATCCTTGCGTGGGGACAAGCCGCGCGATTGGCGTGGGCGGAGCAGTGCACCATGCAGGAGTGCTTCAATTCGTTCTGCAGACGACCTGTTCGTGGGTGGCAAGATGTCCGTGGACCAGCGGGGGCTGTCGTTCTTACAGTGGCGAGGTTAGGCTGGCAGGTGAAAAGCTGGTGTAAGTTTGTTACTGCTCGGGGATTCGAAGTTGATGTGAGTTTCTTGGGTTGTAGGGCCCTCAAAACCGTCCTTCACCAAGCGGTTCGGGATATGCTGCTTCGAGGCCTTGGAGATGGGGAGCGGGTCCCTGGATTGACGGGAGGGCCCATGCTGGAGCCCATCATCGAGGTCCTCCAGAAGCTCAGGTGCCAGGAGAGGTTCACAGCTGCCACTGGGCTCGCTGGGATCGTCTCGGGAGGGTACCCCACTCAGTTCGCCCTGTTCGATGATCGTCGAGTCGTGGACCCTCTGTGCCAGCTCTGCGGCGAGGAGCTGGGGACGCCCAGTCATAGATGTTGCTGTTGCCCAGCCCATGACGCTGTTCGCCGCGACCTAGATGTCGGCGAGCTGCTCGGCTTAGACAGCACGCCCGCCAACAGGCTGTTGGTCACTCGCGCCCTGGCTCTGAGTCCCGAGTGGCAATGGCCAGCGCCGTATGCCGCAGCGGGGCACAAGTGGGATGTTTATCCTCCTGGAGGGCACCTGGGGCCTCGGGTTTGCCTGGACGGGTCTGGCCTGGACCCCGCCCTGCCGCAGTTCACCAGGGCTGGTTGGGCTGTGGTGTCGATGTCCCTGGACTCCTGGGGTGGTTATGTTATTGGATCGGCGTACGGGCCCTTGCCGCACGCGGTCCAGACCAGTGGCTGTGGGGAGGTGTTTGCATTGTTGATGGCCACGAGGCTCGCAGGGCCAGAGGCCATGGAGATCGTCACAGATTGCAAGGCCGTCTTGGACACTTGGAAGCTAGGGCCCACGCAGGATCTGGAGAAGGTTGCCTTTTCAGAGCTCTGGGTGGAGATCTTCAGGTTAGCTTCTGAGATCGGCAGAGATAGGATCACTGTGACTAAGATTAAGTCTCACCTCTCCCTGACCCAAGCCCGTAGGCTAGGACTTGCAGACTGGAGATGGCTAGGGAACAAGAAGGCTGATGAGTTGGCTCGTCTTGGAGCCCAGGCCCAACCACATAATCCTTGGACGCGTAGGAGGTTCAAAGATTTGGAGCCCCTGATCAGGCAGTCTGCGTGGCTGATTGCTGAGATCATGGATGATTTGTCGGCCCGTGCTTTTCCTGATGTTTCTAAAATCCGCAGGCCTCGTCGGGCCAAGCCCTCTTTGTTGGAACTGGTCCCAGACCCGAAAAGGCCATGCGGTAGAATGTGTAGCCAAAGGATCTTATATGTGTCTGCACTGCGGAGAACGGGGGAAGACCCGTGCCGCGGTCAGTGTATTTCCCTGCGGTGGGCCACCTCGGATTGCGCGGACCAGCCATAGGAGCCACCGTCTGTGGCTGATGGGGGGGAAGGTTACCTGGTGCGTGCGTTGCGGCGCCTTTGGGAGCGCTCGGGCCCGTGTCTACCTCCTCTCCGAATGCCATGGGGGCCCGCGCAACCGACACGCAGAGGAGTCTCTTAAGATGCTAAAGCGAGGAGTGGATCCTAGCACGAAGTTCGTGGGAAGATCTATTCCACTGGTCTGGGGTGGGTCGGGCTGGGCGTCCAAGGCGGCGTGACCCCCCTGACCCAATTCAAATCCTTTTACCCAGCACTGTTTTTCGCCGCTTTATCGCAGGCCACTGGCCAGCGGTGACAGACGGCATATGAGCCAATAGGAGCCAATAGGAGGAGGAGGAGGAGGAGGACGGGGTGAGGGGGAGCGCGACCCCTGGCAAGAGTGGGCCTCAGTGCGCGCCCTGCTCATGGGATGAGGAGGAGGAGGAGGAGGAGGAGGAGGAGGAGGAGGTTGACGCGACGGCTCCCCAACCGGCCTGCCCAGGGAGGCGTGTGCACCCAAGGTGGGTCTGTCCGGGGAGCTGGTGAGGTATGTGGCAGATTCTGGAAGCCCTGAACTCCAACAACGTGTTCATATATTGGGGGCGCCTCTGATACTTCCGCCACCCTTCCGCCGGCTTCCGCTGGCAGAGGCGGCCTCGTTTTACTTCCGCCTACCTTCCGCCGACCTTCCGCCTGCTTCCGCCGCGGAAGAGATGACAACTCCTTCGATCCTCGAAGGCAAGGCAATTTCTGGAACGCCTCATGTGGACGAGCGCCCTTCAATACTCGCCAAGTAACTCGCGGGGGACCTACGATCCGTTACATCGAGGCCAACATTTGCTTTGGGGGGACGTCTGCGAGTAGGTATCCAACGAGTCGTGGAACGCGCTCGGTGAGTATGGACCCCGTCGCTCGAGTAGGCGGCAACGGGCGCCGGGGGACCATCCAACGAGCCAGCGGAGGTCTGCTTTGTTCTGCTGCCTGTGAGCGCGCTGCGTCGAGCCCTGAATGAAGGGGCCCCAGGACACACAAATAAATACACACAAATAAAAAGATTCCCCATATTTTCCTATATTTTCTGGGTTTCTGTCTTCCCAACCACTTCCCATATTTTCCTATATTTTCTGGGGAATCGAGGATTCATTGTGTCTGTGTGTTTCTTTTCCTCCTGACTGAAGTAGCACACTGCGTAGCTGCTCAGGGGTGCAGGAAGGGCTCCCGCGCGGGATCGCTTCGTGCGGGCCTCGATCAACCTTCGAGAAACCATGCTGGCACAGGGACTTTCTTTCCCCGACCGGCTGCGGTCCCGCTCCTGCCCCTGGCGGTGGTGGCCATCGCTGGCTGCAGCTGCCATCCTCGCGGTGTCGCTTGCCCTGACGGCCGTGCCCGTCCGACCAGCGAAGCCCATCGTTGGTGGGCCAATCTTCCACCACCACAACCGCACGCAGGACTGGGAAGGAGGAAGGATGGGGTCCTCCTCCTGCTCCTCCTTCTCCTCCTCCTCCTTCCCCTCCTCCTCCTCCTCCTCCTCCTCCTCCTCCTCCTCCTTCTCCTCCTCCTCCTCCTCCTCCTCCTCCTCCTCTTTCTCGTTTTCCTGCTCCTCCTCCTCCTGCTTCTCCTCCCCCTGACACCTGATGACTCTAAGGTTCGTCCGAACGCGCCTCCTCCTCCTCCTCCTCCTCCTCCTCCTCCTCCTCCTCCATCATCCTCCTCCTCCATCCTCCTCCTCCTCCTCCTCCTCCGCCTCCTCCTCCTCCTCCTCCTCCTCCTCCTCCTCCTCCTCCTCCTCCATACTCCGCCCTCTCCCACCTGTGGTAGTGGTGGTGGAGAATCGGCCCATCAGTCGTGGCCATGCATGGTGCCCCAAAGAGGCGTCTCGGGAGACCGCCTGGGCCTCGTGGCGCCTCTGCGGTGCCTGGCCGCCGGTCGCCGCGCCAGTGGCAGTCGCCGACCTTGCCGAACCCGCCGTCGTCCGCCATGGCGCGGCGGGCACCGCATGATTGACCAAAAAAGGACCCCTAACCCTGTGGGAGGGGACCCTACTTAGGAGGGCCAGAAGCATTAGGGATAGAGGGTCTTTTTTTCTGCAGATGGAACAGACCAAACCGCCCATGTTGATCATCCCTCATGTGAAGACGGGGACCTCAGTGAGGCCACGTCTTCATCGTATTATTAGGGTTAGGGGTCATTTTGTTCTCAATAACCGCACCCCAGCTCAGGGTTAAGAACATGGTACGCTAAGCAAGTGGCCTTCACTCCAAAAGCGTTTTCTTCCACCGCAATCCAGGTCCACGCACCCGAACGTCCCCCGAAGAAAAAAAGAAGCTCCAAAGAAGCGCCCAGCGTCCAGTCCGGATTATGGACTTCCTGGAGCGAACATCAGGAGCCCACGCAAGTGGACACTTTTTCTCAACATTTCTGATGGGTGCATGTCATCGCGCGTGAGGCCCGCTTCTTTTCGCCGCTCGCTTCCCGCCGCGGCCGCCGTCGGCGGCGGACGGCTCGCGGCTCTCGACGACTCGCGGCGGGCGACCGGTGGCGGCGGGCGACCGGCGGCGGCGGCCGCGGCGGCGGCGGCGGCGCGGCGGCCACCCCCCCACGGCAGGACGAAGGCCGCGGCGTGCGGCGGGAGGCGTGCGGCCGGGAGCCCTGCCGGTGCCGAGGGGAGGGCAGCCCCGGCCGGCAACCTCTGGGCCAGCAGGCCGTGAGCCAGAGCGGCTGCGGATCCCTCCGCCCCCCCTCCCCTCTGACATGTTCTCTGCTCTCCTCCTCTTCCTCCTCCTCCTCCTCCTCCGCCTCCTCCTCCTCCTCCTCCTCCTCCTCCTCCTCCTCCTCCTCCTCCTCCTCTTCCTCCGCCTCCTCGTCCTGCTCGTCCTCCTCCTCCTCCTCCTCCTCCTCC